ACAACAGTTCATAACTCCAGTTCCAAGGGATTTAATGCCTTCTTCTGGCCTCCTCAGTCACTGCACACATGTAGTACACTTACATACATGCAAGCAAAGCACTCATACACATAAAATTAATTAATAATAAATAATAAAATTTTAAAACAATATCAACTAACATACATAATTTAAGAAACATGAAATTTCCCACTAAAATCAGTAATTTGGTGAAGGTATCTTCACTACTCCTTTTCAATATCATACTACAAGCCTTAGCAAGGACAGTAAGATCAAAAAAGAAAACAAGAAGACTGGAAAGGAAAACATAAGACTATTTGTACATGACATGATCATCCATCTGTAACAATCAATGCACCCCCTGAATAAAAAGCACCTGTACGTAATCATAGCAACGTTCCAGGATACAAGGTGCATCATTACTTTTCCCATCACTGAGACAGAATACTTGACAGAAGCAACTTAAAGGATGAATAAATTATTTTGGATCACAGTTTGGATGGTTCATCATAGCAGGGAAGTCACAGCTATAGGAAACAGATTGACCCAGGCAGCAAAAGCTTATGATGTAACTTGTCCATCTATCAGCAGACCATGAAGCAGAGAGCTCATGACAAAAGCAAGCACAAGCTATAGCCCTCAAAAGCCCTCAAAAATCCACTCTCAGTGACCACTTCTGCCACCCGGCCAGGCTCCGCAACATCACCAAACCATGCCACTAGCTGGAAACCAGGTGTTCAAACATATGAGACTTTGTGTGACATTTCACATTTACACCATAAAATTCTACCACTGGAATCCATAGACTTGGGGCTATCTCCTAACACAAAATTCATTTAGTCCAACTTCAAAAGTCCCAGGACTCTTAATGACCCCGACACTGTTCAGCAGTCCAAAGACTCTTCTGATTCATGATGAATTTTTGTCTTTGAATCTCTATAAATTTTTTTTAAGTCATATACTTCCAATATACAATGGCACAAAATAAACATTCCCATTCCAAAAGGGAGAAGGAAAAAGTGAACCAAAGCAAGACCAAAACACAACAGGGCAAATGCGAAGCCCTACAGGCTCCATGTCCAGCATCTGAGATTCATGGTGGCATTATTTGAGCTCCACAAGGCTTGGATAGCCCCATCCCTAAGGCCCTGATGCCCACAGCTTACACAGGTTCTCCCCTAACCTGGTTGTACTTAGTATCTGCAGCTTTAACTGACAGAGATTCCACATTCAACATTTTGGAGTCTCCACTGCAACTTGGGCTTCACCCTCACCAGTTTACACCAGTTCAGCATCTCTTTGGGTACTCCAACACTGCAAGGCATTTTTCCAGAACTTTGGCTCAAGGCTTTATGATCTCATCACTCTTGCATTTTGTATGCCTGAAAATCCAGCACCACATGGATGATACCAAGTTCTGCTCTCAGCTCAACATGTAGCTGGGTCCCCTTTCACAATAGGTGTAGTCACTTCTACTGCATGTCTACCCATGTGGGTGGACCTGGAAGAGGTCCTACTGCAGCACTCCCTTTTCAAGCATTCTTTTTAAGGCATTCTTATTTTAGTTAGGTGATCATTTTTTAAATGAATTATCATTTTCACACCCTGGAGCCTTAGATGAGCTGTTCTCTAGGCATCTTTCACAATGTTCCAGCATTTTCCTTAATGGTGATAATCTTGTTAACAATTGCAGCAAATTGAAACTCACTCAAGCTTTTTCTCACCAAACTGCATGTTTATACCTTTCTGCTCCACCTTCTGCTCAGAATTTTCCCTATAAATTTTCCCTATAAATAAAAGCTTAAAGCAATGAGTAACAACCATGGCAGAGCCTGAATGTTACGCTATCTTGGAATTTCCTCCACCAAATAAATTAGTCCATTCTTTTAAATTCACCCTTACTCAAATATTCAGCATATGAGCAAAACATGGCTAGATTTATTTTTTTCCAGAATTCAGCATAAATGGCCTCTCACTCAACTCTTGATATAGTCCTTATCTTCAGCTGAAGTCTCATGAGCACAGTTGCTACTGTTCACATTTCTGTCAGCATTTTGGTTCTCTAACTCTCACCAGAATGGCCTGTTAATCTCTGCTTACAGCATTCTAGGGGTTTCTCTAGCATACATCCCATAACTTTTCTACATGCCTCCCACAAACCAGTTCTAAAGGCCTACAGACCAAGTGGTCAGGTATATCACAGCAATGACCCCACTTCTCGGTACCAACAGTCTATACTAGTTATTTTTCTCAATGCTGTGACAGGGCACCTGGGAAAGCAACTTAAGGAAGGAGAGGTTTGTTTTTACTTGGTTTACAGGGTTTATTCCATCCTGACAGGGAAGGCACAGTGGCTGCAATGGCTCCATCCATAGTGGGAGGAGCATCTTCTGTGAACCAGGAAGCAGAGCTCAGTCTGGTAGCAAGACTGGGATGTAACCCTCAATAGACTGGCCCCAGGAACCCACGTCTGCCAGCCAGACCCCACAGCATCCCCCAGCCAGACCCCACAGCATCCCAAGCAGTGTCGGAGATTAGGTGTTCAAACACATAAGCCTATGGGGGTCATTTCACATTCAAATTGTAGTTAGCAAGGTTAATATAAAAGAAGTAACTTCTCTCTATGTTTCAGTTGTAAATAAGTAGAATTTGAAATTTAAACACAATACATTTACATTAGCACTCCAAAAAATGAAATTCTTAGGTATAGCTAGATCTAACAAAATGTTATAAAATCTATATAAGAATATTTACAAAACTAATGAAAGAAATCAAAGAACTAAGCATTGGAACATTTCATCTTTGTGGATAAGATTCAGCACTGTCAAAATGTCAGTTTTTCTCAAGTTAATCTAGAGATTCAAGGCACTCTCACTCAGTATCCCAGAAAACCATTTGTGCATATCAACAATCTTATTCTAAAGTTTGTCTGGAGAGGCAGAAGACTTAGAATAGCCAACAAACTATGTTTTTTTTTTTTAAATAACAGACTGAGCTTGTTAGCACATGCCTTTAATCCCAGCACTCAGGAGGCAGAGGCAAATGGATCTCTGAGTTAAGAGGCCACTTTGGTCTTAGGTCTTGGTCTAAGTTCTAGGCCAGATACCTTGTCTCATAAAGAAAAGAAAAAAGAAATAACAAAGTCAGAGAGTTGATACTCACCAAGTTCAAGACTTATCATAAAGCTGTAGTAATTAAGACGGAGTGTCCCTGGCAAAAGACTACATTACAAAACAGAAAGCTCAGAAATAGATCCAGCCAAATACAGCCAAGGGAACTTTGACAAAAGAACAAAGGAAATGCAATGGTTTTTTTTTAAACATATAGTACTGGTGTAACTGGACATCCCTATGCAAAACCATCAATATCAACACAGACTTTGTATGTTTCACAAAATAACTTAAAATGAATAATAGGGGCTAGGGAAATAACTCAGCCAATAAAGTACTTTCTTACATGAGCATTTGGACCTGAATTTGGATTCCCAGCACACATTTTTTTTTTAAATAAAAAGGCAAACATGGTGACTGACAAGCACCTGTATTTCCATTGGGGTGAGGGGAGAAAGGCAGGTACCTAGAACTTGACAGCCAGTCTAGCCAAATAACTCCAAGTTCAGCAAGAGACCCCATCTCAAAATATTAAGTGGACAGTGACAGAGAAAGACACCTCAAGTCAACTTCTGGCTTCCACACACATGCACAAACATGTACATATGCACATATATGCACATATACACTACACACACACACACACACACACACACACACACACACACACACACACACACCGGCTCATAGACCTAAATGTAAAATACAAAACTATCAAATGCCTAGAAGATAATATTAAGACAGTCTGGGCCTAGATGATCCAACACCAAAAGCATAATCTATGAAAGATGAAATCAATAAAATGAGCTTCTTTAAATTAAAAACTTCTGCTCTATGAAAGACAATGTCAAGAAATGAAAAGACAAGCTTCTGACTGAGAGAACAATTTTGTGAAAGATATCTGATAAAAGATTGTTTATAAAATGAATATTTAAAAGCTCTTAAACTCAACAAGACAACAAACAATTAAAAGATTGACCAGAGACTCACACAGTTTCATATGGCAAGCTTGTGAAAAGACACTCCACATCATGGTCATCAGGAAAGTACAAATCAAAGCACCAGACATCCCTCTCCCAATGGAATAGCCTAAATCTCCTACACTGGTGCAGGAGCTCCAGTGATTGCGGCTGGGAATGGTCCAGCCCCTTGGGGAGACAGGCAGGCAGTTTTTCACCCTCTGACCATATAACCTACGATCATGGATCCTTGGTACTGATGTAAATGAACTGAAAATAATAGCTACACAGAATCCTGTCCCCAGATATTTATACGAGCTTTATTCATGGTTGCCCAAACTTGGAAGCAACGAATATGTCCTCCAATAGGCAAAAAGATGAATTCTAGAACATTTAGGTAATGAAATTTTCAACACTAAAAAGAAATGAGCTATCAAGTTATGAAAAGACATGGAAGAAATTCGAATGCATATTACTAAGTCAAAGAGGCTAATCTACAAAGGCCACAGATTAAGTGATCTCAGCTAAACGACAGTCTGAAAAGTACAAATCTATGTAGAAAAAAATTATGCTGCACACTTTTAATCCCAGCACTTAAGAGGCTGAGGCAGGAGGATCACAAGTTAAAAACCAGACTGGACCACAGACCTCGGTCCTGTCTCAAAAACAAAAGAACAATAATACCAAAAAAACAACCCAGTATGAAGATTGCAAAAACATCTGTAGGTGAGGTAGGGATGGCTGTTGGTTGTTTTTAGTCAACAGGTTGAGGACTTTGTGCTAATGAGAATGCATGAAATCCTTCAATAAAAATTCCAAGCTGAAAAAAGAAAGAGAAAAAAATAATTGAGCTGTCTCAAGTCCAGCAATTGGGAAACAGGACCATAGCTGGCAAAAATCCAGCCCCAAACCCTTTTTCCAAGTCGCTTACCCTCCTGGCTCAGCGAGGGCAATGTGGGCAGCATATGCCTGCACCGGTCCTGAAAACCAGGGGTGATGCTGTCCAACATCTTCGGTCCCCAGTTGACTCCGTGGTGGGTCCTCGATGGATGGTCTCTTCTTCCTTATATGGAGTTTGCACTAAAATGACTTTCTCACCCTCCAGCCCCCTCTGCCCGGACTTCGGGTGTACTTTTAAATTAAAAATTGTTTTTAAAGTCTTGAACTTCTTTTTTTTTTTCTTAAATAAACGTTCTTTCTCGCCTTCCCTCCCCCCGTGATCTGGCTCTCAGATAACCTGTTCCCACCCACAGGATGCCAGAGAGCCATCCAGCGCTAAGCCAAGAGCGTGTAAACCCACGTCCACCCAAACAGTGAGGGAGGCGGCAAATGATGGGCCAGAGGTTCACTGAGCATAGAATTTGGGAATGGGAGGGCGGGGCATGTTGCTAGGACGCGACAAAGGCTCCCTCGTTGCTAGGACCTCAAAGCCGGATCTGGCCCAGCCCCCTAAGAGAATCCCGCTTCTAGGTGGCCCCAGAGCTCAGGCAGCGATACCAGGAAGTACTTCTGAAAACTGATCCCCCCCATCTTGCGTCAGCAGCAGAGAGACTTGGCTTTGAAGGTCACTGTTTTAATCATTTTAAGCCCATCTGAAAGTGCGCTTTGCCAGCATTGGTGTATGAATGCTCTGTATCTGAGGGATGAGTTCGAGCTGGAATTTATTTCTTGCTTTGGATTTTTTTGGTGGGCTGGGGTTTCGGGGGAGGGATGTTTGGGGGGGAGGGTTGTCTTGTTTTGTTGTTTTACCAGCTCACTTCTTAGAAAATAGACGGTTGGCCGGGTATGGTGGCACTTGCCTTTAATCCCAGCACTCTGGAGACGGAGACAGAGACAAGCAGATCTCTGTGAGTTCAAGGCCAGCCTGGTCTATATAGTGAGTGCCAGGACAGCTGGGGCTACAGGGAGACCTTGTCTCAAAAAAAGACCAAAAAAAAAAAAAAGAGAAGAAAATAAAGGACTGGAGACATCATGAGGAAGGAATTAACTTTTTAAAAATTAGTTTGTTGTTGTTTTCCTTTTCTGTAGGGGAGGGAACATCACAAATCTCAATTTGCAGATTATATTTGTGATCTCCCTTCTGCTAATAACAGGAAGAGAACATGCACATGTCAATCCCATTCAGGTCAAGAAACAGAACCCTACTAGTTCCACAGAGGTTCCATCCCCCTGCAGCCATTGTCCCAACTCTATTCTGCCAGTGTTTGAACTTTTGAATCCTATAATACTATTCTTTTGTCTGGTTCTATCACACCATGACTATCATATATGGCTTCTATGGTCGTTATGTGTTCATTTTGACTGTTGCATATTTCTCTGTGTGAATAAAGCACAACTTACCCATTCCACTGTTGAGCATTTGAGATGTTTCCATTTGGGGACATTATCCATTAGGAATAATGCTGCTGCAAACATTCTCTTACAAACCTTTACATATATATGTGGGTCATGGGTAAGGCATGTGATCAGTTTTGATAATGCCGAGGAGATTTCCAAAGTAATTGTTGCTATGGAATGGAGGGAGGAGCACTTAGGCATGATGTAAGGACAGAGGCCAGGGATGACAGACCACCTGAAATAGGCAAGAGTTGTCCCACAGTCACCAGCCTTTAACATCTCACCAGACTTCCATATTAAAAAACAAAACAAAAGGCTGCTTTAGAGCCTAGAAAAAGAAGTTATAATTCACAGGCCTGAGCCAGCTGCTTGGCTAACTGTTGTACTTGTAATGATTCTTTACAGAGAGAAGTTTGTGGTGGTCTCATTATGCCTCCCAGTCATCATACATGGACGTACACATTAAAATATAGAGTATTCACGGTGGTTAGTTTTAACTGTCAACTTAACCGAAGCTATAATCACCTGGAAAGAGTCTCAATGTGGGATTCTCTAGATCAAGTTGGCCTAGGGGCATGTCTGTGGGGATTATCTTGAGGGTGTTAATTGGTGTGAGAAGACCCAGCCCACTGTGGGCAGCATTATTCTGTAGGTAGAGGATCCTGGATTGTCTAAATAGAGGGGTGCCAAGCACAAACAAGCATTCATACATTCATTCCTCTCTCTTCTTGACCGCAGATGTGACCAGCTGCTTCAAGCTCCTACAGTTGTAACTTCCCTGCTTTGATGGACTATAATCTAGGACTGGGAGCTAAAGTAAACCTTTCTCCCCTAGTTGCTTTAAAAAAAAAAATAGTTGACCATGATAATTGAGACCTTAGAGAAAAGGAACTACAGTAGGGATATTAGTAAGTAATAAAACATTTTTTTTCCGGTCAATATATTTTTCTAACTTTAAAAAAATTATGTATTTTTTTTATTTTTGTGTATATGAGTGTATTGCCTGCATGTAAATGTACCTGTGTCATGTGGCGCCCTCAGAGATCAGAAAAGGGCACTGGATTCCCCTGGAACTTAAGTTAGGGATGGTTGTTAGCTTCCATGTGGGTGTTGAGAATCAAACCTGGGTCCTCTGCAAGAGCAGCTGGTGTTCTTAACTGCTGAGCCATCTCTCCAGCCCCCTCCCAAATTACTTTTTATCCCTGTATTTTATCACAGCAACAGATACGAAACCATGATAGTATTTTACTATATATTACTTTTAATTTATTATACTAGAGTTATGGCTTTATATTAATTTTTAAATACTATGGGTACATCAACTATACCACTCCTGGGTATATACCCAAAGACTATATCCTGCTACAGAGAACTGCATATTCGTGTTCATTGCTGTACTGTTCACAACAGCAAGGAAATGGAGCAGGCTTAGATGTCTAACAGAAGAATGGCTAATAAACACAACAATATTTACACAATAGAATTTTATTCAGCTGTTAAAATGAAACTACAGGGGGGTGAGCTGAGAGATGGCTCAGTGGTTAAGAGCTTTGGCTAGTCTTGCAGGAGACCATGGTTCAAATCTCAGCACCCATATCGTGGCTAACAACCATCCATAACTCCAGTTCCAGGGGGATCTGATGCCCTCTTCTGTCCTCTGCAGGCACCACACAACATGGGTGCACTTACATACATGTAGGCAATACATTCATACACATAAAATACTAAAAATAAAATATTTTGAAAATGAAACTATGGCAGGTGTGGTGGTGCACACCTTTAATCCCAGTATTTGGGAGGCAGAGGCAGGTGGAACTCGATGAGTTTGAGGCCAGCCCGGTATACATAGTGAGTTTCAGGGCAGCTGGGGCTACAGGGAGACCTTGTCTCAAAAAGAAAGAAAAAAAAAATGTATGTATGTATGTATATATACATACATATATAAATGAAATTTTCTAGCAAGTGGATGGAACTAGAAAAGACTAATATATATGTGTATATATATAGGGATTATATATAGAGAGTAGATACAGATATAGATATAGATATTGTATATGGACTATATCATAGCACATAGGGTAGAGTTTTGGTATAGAGTTATAATCTCTGAGAATCAATGCATAAACAGATTTGTCAAAGTGAAATGTTGAAAGGATTAGTCAAACTAGATATAGCAAGAAAAAGTAGAAGAAATTACAAATCCCCAATGTATTTCTGATCCCCCGTCTCAAAAAAACAAAAAACAAACAGAAAGACAGAAAGTAACAAAGGCTCATAAGGATTCTGAGAAAGAGGAAGTTTTATACACTGTGGGTAGGAATGTAAATTATAGTAGTTGTCATGGAAAACAGTAGAGAAGCTGTTAAAAAATAAATATAGATGATAATGCAGCTGCCTCCGTACTGTATAACATACACCTAAAAAATAAAATAAGGGACGGGAGAGATGGCTCAGTTGTTAAGAGCACTGGCTGCTCTTGCAGAGGACCCAGATTTGATTCCCAGCACCCACATGGTGGCTAACAACTGTCCATAACTCCAGGTCCAGGGGAATCCAGCACCCTTTTCTGATCTCCACGGGCACTGAACACAGGTGCATTTATACAAAGAGAGACCTGTACCTCCATCTGTATCGCAGCACTATTAGCAGTAGTCAAAAGATAGACGCAGCCAAGATGTACATAGATGCATGAACAGATAAAGAAAACGTACATATACACAGCGGAATTTTATTCGGTCTTTACAAATAATGAAACCCTATCATTACAGCAACATGGATAGAACTAGAAATTATTGAAATAAGCCAGGCACTAAAAGAAGACAAATACCTCATACCTCACTCATATTTGGAAGACAAAAGCTTATTTCATAGAAACAGAGAACAGAATAGTGACCACTAGAAACTAGGAAGGAGAGGAACCAGACAAATAGGAGGAGGAGGATACTGGGTACCAAAATAGGTAGGAGCGATCGATTCCAGGGCTCTACAGGCAAGTAGATTGACTAATTTACAATTTTTTATTTGGCATATAAAGAATTAGAGGACAAGAGATCAAAGCTTCCTAACACAGAGAAACAACAAACACTGATGAAAATAGAAATGCTAATTACCCTGATTTGATCAGTATATAGATATATATGTATCAGGTTATAGGAAGGTATCCATAAATATGTATCAACGATAAAAAGCATTGCTTAAAAGAAAGCTGGACCTTCACTGCAAAGTTTCAAAATGTATGAAGTAAAACGAGTTTCAGAATAATATATTGTATTTGTTTCAAATATGAGATTTAAATATATAAAATTTATCTGTGTTTGTAAATACAAAGGACACTTAAGGAAAGATACACAAAAATATTAACAATATTTGAGGTAATAAGACATTATGTATAAAGAGGGAGGAGTTTCTGTTAAGAACTTTGATTTTTCACTTTTCTATTTTGTCTACTATTTACCCAAGAGCATGAATTATTTTCACAATATTTAAGATAAATAACCAAAGAATGAGACAGTAGGTCAAAGCAGAGTATAAAGAGCTGTGGAGATACTGAAAGAAGCAACCAGGGCTGTTGTTTTCAAAGGACATCAGCATACATATACTTTTTTCAAAGTTCTACTTGTCTTGCAAAGTCATATGGAATGGTCAGTCATCTTACCTAAGCCCTAAGGCTGACACAGTATTAAGTGGCTTCTATTAAAAGCAAGTTGAGGGGCTGGAGAGATGGCTCAGGGGTTAAGAGCACTGGTTGTTCTTGTAGAAGACCCAGGTTCAAATTCCAGCACCCACATGGCAGCTAACAACTGTCCATAACTCCAGTTCCAGGGGATCCGACGCCTCTGCTGTGCTCTGTGGGCGTTGCATGACACTGGCGCACTTACCTACACGCAGGCAATTCACTCATACACATAAAAATAATAAATAAAATATTTTAAAAGCAAGTTGA